AGAGCTTTTTATTTTTCTTTCTTTGATTCTTCCGATATCCTTGCTTTTCATGCCTCAGAGAAAAACCATAAACAGAGGCAAACTCAGTTTTTTTTATCAGTGTCAATAGCATCTAACGACTGACATTAACATTGAATTCAAAATTCACAAATTTGACCCTTCTTTATTATCTCCTGCAAAAAGATGCATTAAAAGTAGTTCAATTTTAATGAAATTGTATGCTATTTTTACTTCACCATATAATACCAGTAAAAATCAATGGAATTTCCTAAGAAAGATACAAAGAAAGCCATTAATTAGCAAAAAACTTTGAGGCAGGCAAAGATCTTCATACTTAATGATCAGTTAATAACCAATTAAAGATCAAATAAAGCAATAACGAGTATTAATGTACAAACTGACGTAGCTAGTGAATACCTTATTCAGTAGAGCCTCTCTGTTTTCAGGCATCTAACTTCTGCAGAAAATGAAACAAAAGCTTCACCATTTGTTGCCATAATGCAAGTTTTGTAGATCAAGAATGTTTCAACTGGTCTTTGGTATCTATTCAAAGCTTCAGATACATTCAAAATCTGTGGATGCATTGCTCATCAGATCTCTCTTTAACAATCAGAACATTAATAAGTGAAGTCACCAGAAATCTCTGCAAGAGCAAACACCATTTTTGAAATGGTGAAACCTGTTCTTGTCTCTCATGATGATGTCTCTCGAAGTAAGCCTGGAAACAAACTTGGCGAAAACGTGGCAATCATCACAGGTTCTCAAGTTCTTCATAACCCGTATAGGATGTTCCGCTCTCGCATTAATGAGTCCAAATGCAATGGCGAGCTTCTCACTGTGATGACTGAGAGAAGATTCTTTTTCCTCTGTTTCCACATCATGAAACACCGAACCTGTGTCTGGAACATACCCCAAGTTCCTTATCTTCTTCAAGATTTCCTCCAATTTCTCATATATCGCCCTTGATTGCGGGTGAGATTTGTCTCCTCTATTGAAAAAATGGATTTTTCCGCCAAATTCAACAGAACTATAAGCTGCAACCTTTTTAGTGCCGAGCTTCCTCATTTTACGCCTTACTTTGTCAACACAATCCCATTTACCAGCAGCTGCATATATATTAGAAATTAGTACTTGGTATGCACCAATGTCAGGAGCTGTTTCCACAAGTAAGTCTGCTACTTTTTGGCCCAAGTTCATATCACGATGAACCGCACAAGCACCCAACAAGGCTCCCCAGATACCAGCATCTGGTTCAAGTGGCATCTTTTCGATAAATTCATAAGCCTCCTCTAGAAGACCAGACCGTCCTAATAGATCAACCATACATGCATAATGCTCTTTTCTCGGCTCACAATTCTTATCATTCGATTGAACCATCATATTGAAATATTTTTTCCCCTCATTCACTACTCCAGCATGGCTACAAGCAGATAGGAGCCCGAGAAATGTCACGTAGTTTGGTCTTAGTCCCTCTTTCTGCATCATAGCGAACAATCCCAAGGCTTCTTTGCTATCTCCATTCATTGCATAACCTACAATCATCGTGCTCCACGAAACTACATTCTTTTGTTTCATTTCGTCGAACAATACCCTTGCATCTTCGGTGCTACCACACTTCAAGTACATATCAAGCTTAGCATTTTCGACGATTACGTTACAATCAATATCTTCTTTCCTCGCGCGATCATAAATTTCTTTTCCAATCTCCAAAGAGCCTAGCTGACCACAAGCAGAAAGCATACTCACGACTGTAAAAGAATCAAATTGAACTGCATCCGCACACATTCTGCGATAATACTCAAGAGCCATAGCTGAATTCCCTGTTTGAACACAAACTGCAATAAACGCATTCCAAGCCACTAAATCTCTAACTTGCATAGACTCAAACAAGAACTTAGCCGAACTCAACTCACCAAACTTCATATACATCATAACCAACTCAGTTGCAACAATCCCAAGACACTCAAAACCATTTTTCATCACATGGGCATGAAGGGCAAAGCCACAGGGCAAAACCCCAATCTCGGAGATGGCCTTCACCACAAACGGGTAAGTAAATTCATCAGAACGGACACCAAGATCACGCATTTTCTTATAAAGTAGGACAGTTTCAAATGGGAGCTGGTTTTTAACGTACCCTTTGAAAAGAGTGTTCCAAAGGAAGATTCTTGGCTTGTGCATTTCGTCGAACACTTGGCGGGCGTAACACATGTCGCCGACAAGCACAAGATTCTCTAACATCTGAGTTAAGAGGCTGTTTTTGACAGAGAAACCTGTCGTTAGAACAAGCCCATGGATCTTCTTAAGTTGATTCGGCGGCTTTGAAGAGCTTGCCCGTAAAAGCTCGGAGAGCATTTGTTTTGTTAATGGCGTTTGTTTCCCAAGCATCTCTTCG